TGGCACCATAAACTTATGGTATCGGAGTTTGTTGTTTGATGATGGTGATGAGGTTGCCGTTTGGTGGAGTCGAGTTGTGATGAGGAGACTTTGAGCTCGCGGTGGCGTTTCTTAGTGACTCTGAGTCGGGTGATGATGCTGGCGATGACCTTGCATGTTGTTTTGTTTTGATGCCGATGATATTGCACTGTTCTTTCTTCTTGGGCTGACGATGATGACGATGATCCTCTATGGATCTCCTGAGTCTCCCTCTTTGATCCCTTTCTGGGTTTTCTTTACGCGTCGTTTTTTGTCCGTTTGGGATTTTTTCTCTTCGATGGGGATGATGATGAAGCTTTAGCTTCTCTGAATCCCTTACTGAAAACTCGTTCAATTACCCCTCATCCAATCCCGCTTTTGATGAACTAATGAGGTTCTATTTATTGATGATTCTTCTTCTGATCCGTGGGCTTGGGTTTGATTTTAGGTTGCAAAAATGTTGCCTCTTTTCATGAACTATGGGTGTTGGGTTTATGTGATTGTTGTTGTAAATTTCCTCACAGTTTTATTGCTTGCTTTTCAGGACCTGGTGGTACTTGGTGATGAACAAGTCACGACTTGTTGTACTTGTTGGCTGTTGCGAAATCCTTGTTGTTATCTTTCAGATTTGCGGTTTGACTTGTTTATGATTTGTTAGATCCGTATGAACCGTAGATTTTCTGGAAAAATGTTTAGGCTGTTTGGAAAAAATCACTTTTTGGATAAGTGCTTTTCCAAAAAAGCACTTTTTCTGATAATCACTTTTTCTGGAAAATCACTTTTTTTATCTCTCTCTCTCTCTCTCAGTTGCCTTACTTTGAAAAAATGTTGCCTGAGTTTAGCCGAAGTCGAGAACCGAGTCGGGAGTCGGCGACGACTTCGTCGTTGCCCTCCCGACGCACCCAATGATGACGTTTGCTCTAAGGGTGTCGGACGAAAAAATATAACCGATTAAAAATGTCATTTGTTTATTTTGCAGGTTCGAAAAAATTGGAAATTCGAAATCGACGAGTTGGGAGTTGAAGGGAATTTTAGGACTTTAGAAAATCTAGGAAAAAATGTAACTTTGACTTGTAAATTTTATTTATATTTATTTCTTTATATTGTAAGGAATTATTATATATCAACTATCAACCCTTCAAAATTCAATTGGATGTCTTTACCGTTTTACCCTTACACTAAATTTTATTTGCACTATCAATAAGACATTTTCGTAACTAACAAATAACACAAATAATACTCTGCAAACCCTCTCCTAAGTTGCCGTGTGTCGTTTATCCTTTGGCTATCCTCAAAATTGCTTTTTCCCCTTTCTTGTTTTCCTTTCTCTCTCTTTGAATTCAAATCTCTTTTCCTTTCTTGTTCTCTCTCTCTCTCTCTCTCTCTCTCTCTCTCTCACACACACACACACACACCTCTCTTTCCCATCAAACGCTACTCCATCGTCCTTGTCTCCTTTTCTCTCTCTTCTTCGTTCTCTTCCTTGACACCCTACACTGCCTTCGTCCTGCTATGCTTTAGTCGTATTCTCTTTTAATTTACCCGTTTCTTTCTATTTATGCAGATCGAGCCATCAACATGGACCACAGATCGAGCATGATGATTGATGAAGCTTTCACTCATGGTCATCCTCAAAGGTTCTACCTTTTTGAATATCTACTGTAGTTTTAAATTTGTATCAATTATATGTTCTGTTCTATTTAAGAATTTTACTGTTAATTCTAGGCACTAGCTAATATGAACACGCACGCCACTTGTTCGATTAATTGCATCACTGATGTTTTGCCATGAACTTCTGTATTTGATGACTTTAGTCTTAATCCATTTATAGTTTCTGTATGGATCTTCGGGATTTTTTTATTCATACGAGTCTTCAAACTTTACAGACAAGCTTTGAGAGTTGTCGGTCGAGCAATAATGTGTTTTCCCTCTTACTTGAACTTCTGGAAATAATAACAAGGTATGCTAAGTTATTTTAACTGCAAATAGTTATAACATTCAAGAGTTATAGTTTTGGATTAGATTGATCAGTTGTCATTACTGTTATATATATTTTGTATTTGTATATGTCATTGGTGAACACCTTCGATGCAGATATGTCCCTGTGGGAACTGGGAAGCAACATGGAAAATATATTCTGATAATAAATGACTTATGATCAAACACATGAAATCGGTGCAAACACTGAACAACAACAATGACTTTTTTTATTGCTTACATTTTGAGTCTTTTATTTTTGGCGATAGAAGATTAGCGCCTGGACTCACAAGGTACGTTTTTGTTTCAAATAGACACCGGAGTGCATTTAATGTAGGCATAAAGATAAATAGTCTTTCTTCAATTGTTTAGGATGATATTTTTTCCAAATTTGAAAGTTTGATCAGTATTAGTGTTCGTCTGTATACTTTGTATGCTTTCTGTTATTTTTCTTCTTCTTTGATATGTTGTTGTTATACTTGATCTGAACACAATAACAACGATGTGTGAATATGAAAATGAAATAAAGTGCTGAGATAGATAGTGCGTCACCTGAGGAATTATGTGAAGTGGGATAGATTTCTCAGCAATGTAGTTGATATGCTTACACCTATGGAAAAAAGGAAATCACTGAGGAAGCACACGCATTTAACTAGCCCGTGTTGACAATTCTACATCATGTAGTAACATCTTCTCTAAACCTCATTTTTTCGTTGGTATTCCTTCTTTATTTCTTCTAGATTTCATGTGAAATATGTGATCGATGCTAGGTGATTTTTTTTAGGTATTTCCATCTTCATCTTCTACATTTTTTCTTTCTTTTTTCCGCTGGGCTTCTTTCTCTGTTTCATATATTTCTTTTGAATTAACCTTGAAAGGAATGTTTTTCAGTGTTGTATTTACTTGAAATGGTTTTAAAAAGAGCGTATAAAGAAACCTGACAATGTGAAGTAGTTACATGTTTTAAAAAGTTACTAAAATAGACAATGCTGCAGTTATCTTTATATAACTTAAGATACTCTTGATTTTAAATTTGCTCATTTTTCTTTTCATTTTCATTCTGTTTTGTCTCTTATGCATTATCAATATTGTAGATCAAGTTAAAACCATGTTGAATTGAGGCCAACTATTTTGTGACTGATAGTTAAATACTTTTTTGAAATATTCATCATCTCAGGGACCTATTTGAAAGCTCCCTGCTAAGTCAGTCACGAATTTAGTGGTTTACTTTTGTTTATTTTTCCAGAGTTGAAACATTATAAGTATACCTTATGTGTTTTTTTTAATTATATGGATTATTTGTTTATATGGATAATACAAAGGGAGGTTCAAAATAAAAATCAAACAAAATATTTAAGAAAAGGAGAGCCTCTGCGCATGAATTTGTTCACATATTTCATTCCTTTCATTCTGACGAGTTGCTGTAACTTCTGTAGGAATATAAGTTATCTTAATAGCACTTTCAGTAGTATTAACATGCTGTCCACCAGCACCACTAGCGCGAAATCGTTCAATTCAAAGATCATATTCGTTAATCTGTACATTTGAAGATTGATCATGAAGGTTTGGAATGACTGCTACAACAACAAATGAAGTATGTCGGCGTAATTAGAATTTCTTATATAATTTTATAATGGTTTAATTTTAGAACCAGAGATACATAATTTTAGCACCTAGGAGGTTTAATATATCAGAGATACATAATTTTGGATCTCGAGAAAGCTACTACATAAATTGAACAAGTCTCTCTCTCTCTCTATGGGTTAAATAATATAAACACGTGTGGTATAATTGTATAAATGAATATTTACTAAAGGAAAGATATACAAATAAGTCTATAAATTCTTATATTTTTATGAAAATGTCTAAAAAATAATTTTCTATAATAGTTGTCTACGTGGATGACATAAAATTATTAGAACTCTTGAAGAGATTTCAAAAGCTATAAATCTCTTAAAGAAACAACATGAGATAAAAGACATAGAAAAGACAAAGTTATGTCTAGGTTTACAAATCGAGTATTTGAACAATAGAATATTTCTACATTAAAAGCGTTATATAGAAAAGGTGTTATAAATTTCATATAAGGACAAATCTCGTATGTCATATACCCTAGTGATGTTAGATCATTGGATGTATAAAAGATTCTTTTAGAACTCGAGAAAAGAATATAGAACCCATTTGTCATGAAACATCATGTCTCGGTGTAATCAAGCATTAATCTATCTTTCTAATTATACAAACTACGTTATATATATTTATATTAGTCTATTAACATGATATAATTCTTCACCTACAGAAACAAAACAAAGTCAAACATATATATAATACGTTATCTTAGGAGTAAAAGAACATGAGTTTGTTTTATTTCAAAATATCAAAATTAAAATTAATATGTATTAGAGATGCATGTTACTTGTTAGACCCTAGTAATAGTAAATCACATGCAACTCATTTATTTAATTAAGTTAAGGTGGCATAACACTTCATGAAGACCTGTGAAACAAAGTCTAGCATCAACCTCATCTATATCGTAAAAGAATACTATATTTTTTTTCTTTAGTAATTATTGAATTGATTATATAAAAGTATTTAAAAAACTCTGAGTTAATAATAGTTAATTAATCTCTAAACAAAAAGCATACCGACATGAATCATTTTATTTTTTGAATGGAATACCGACATGAATTCCGATCGCAACATTTACCTGTCATTAGTTGCATGCAATCAACAAATAAGTAACTTACACTTCAAAATAAGAAAAGAAAAAAAAAAACAATTTTAAATATAAAATATCTAATTTAAAAGATACACCATTCAATCTCAATATAACAATTACCAAACATAATAACTGAATCACTTTTCTTAATTCACAATCATTTTTCTTTTCTTTTCTGATTTTGTCATTTTGTTGTTCATCATCATCATCAATTCTCACCAAACCAAAAATTCATAAATTCTTTTTATATGATATTGTAGAAAGAGATTCAAATCAAGAAAGAAAAATGGCGAATGCAATACTATTAGCAATTGGTGATGCAGTATTAACATTCATATGGGTTTTCGTTTCTTCAACCCTAGGATTAGTCACCTCAGAAATTATCAAAGCTTTTGATCTTGAATTTGTGTCTTACAATGGTGTTAATTACCCTTTTATTATAATCACTACTTTATTAATTTTTCTTATTATATTCACTTTCACCGCTATTGGTAATGCCATGGGTGGTGCCAGTTTCAATCCTACAGGAAATGCTTCTTTCTATGCTGCTGGTCTTGGTTCTGATACACTTTTCTCTATGGCTCTTCGTTTCCCTGCTCAGGTAAAAAGTTTCTCTTTTTTTCATTCAATTTTCAATTTTTAGATTTAGGGTTATGGGTTTGTGCTGTGAAAGTTATTGCTTTTTTGTTTTGTTTTTTTGCTTTTCTGTTATTGGTGCTTTTTTGGGTGATGAGATTCATGAATCTTGCATAAGTGCAAAGTTTTAATTGATTTAAGGAATCTGTGAATAGAATCAAGATTGGAACTTTAGCAACATGGGTGGTATAGTATATGTTTGTAATGTTAAGATTCTTAATACATGTTTGGTGTTGGGTAGCACCAATACTTCATAATGAAGGCGTGTTTGGTGTCTGATGTGTTTGTGTTTGTATCTGACATGAAACCGACATTTATGATTATCCGTGTTGACATGTCGGTAATTTGTAGATTGGGATAAGTTTGACAAAACGATGATGATAGCGTAATTTTATTGAAGTTTTTGTGGTAAGGACTAAGGAGAGAAGATCATATGAAGAAAAGTCAATCAGTTAGAGATAGATGAAGACTTAGAAAAAATGTAAGGAAGGTTATTAAGAAAGATCTTGAGATTAACGATTTTGGATAAAAACATGGTCTGAATAGAATATTATGCTGAAGGTGATACATGTAGCTGACTCCACATAGCGAGATAAGACTTGGTTGTTGTTGTGGTTGTTGTTTTGAGTGTAGCTTTTGTAAAAATCACAGTGGCACGATGGGATTTCTCCAAACTATGTGTTAATCTGAACACACTTTTAAAGATATGATCTTATATGTATGCTAAGAAATCTAATAGGCTGGCCTAGTGAAATCATGTTGTATGGATATTACTCTTTCGCTCTCGATCTTGATTCAGTCTGATAGGAGGATACATGTAGATTTAATGTTCAAATTTGATGCAATATTTAAGTGTTTCTGGAAATTTCTTCAACTACACGATAATTGTAGTAGCAGGATTCAGTTTTTTTATGAAGCATAACGTAAGAACATTGACCGCAATTTAAAACTATGCACGACTCTATTTGGTTATCTCGTGACCTGAGTTTGGTTTCTATCTTTTAATTTTTATATTGGTTGAAATGAATTTTTAATGAGTGATGTTACGCAGGCATTAGGTGCAGTGGGTGGTGCTATGGCAATTATGGAAGTAATGCCGCCAAAATACAGGAACATGATTGGAGGACCTACTTTGAAGGTTGATCTGCACACCGGAGCTATTGCAGAAGGAGTGTTGACATTTGTAATCACTTTTCTCGTTCTCTTCATCATAATCAAAGGTCCTCGTAGCGAGTTCGTCAAGACTTTGATGATGTCTATTTCAACTGTGACTATGATCGTCGCCGGTTCTGCTTACACCGGACCGTCCATGAATCCTATCCTTGTAAGTGATTCATTTTTCACATTCGCCGTTTGTTATCATTGTTTTTCTTGTCTAAATAGCCTGTGTTACCTGTACCGGTTTGCGTATGATATACATCTTTCCTATCACGAGGGCGGTGTAAATTAAATTCTCTTAAATTCCTTTCTCAGTAGACTAGATTCTGATGTGTGCCTAAAGTTTGAAACTTTTCATCTGTTGGTTCTGTTTTTGCAACCTTTATTCCATTACAGTTTGAAACTTGACGATTGGTTCAAAGTGTTTTTAGTTCCAATTTTTTTTACTTTTTTTTACTTTTATTGTTCTTAAGAAGATTCCTTCACCCTTTTTTAGCTTTATGTTATAAAAGTCTTCAATCCCCTCATTGTTGTTCCAAATAAGCTGCTTATTAACCATTTTGTAGGCTGCTTTATTGAATCTGTATAAAACTTAAGAAAACATTACTGTCACGCTTCTTTTTGTTACTCCTACACAAGGTTGTTAGTTGCATATGCGTTTTTGTTTTTATGTAACACCATGTAACACCGACACGACACCTCATATTAAAGCTATGAAGCACATACACCTCTGTGAATATGCATATTGTGGTGCCCGATACACGATGGTGTCCCATAAATGATACATGTCAGAAAACTCAGATAAGTGTTCTAAAAAAATAGTTTTTCTCTTGCTGTAATGCTCTTTGAACAAGCGTTTGACACTCCTATGACACTCATATGATACATGTCAAACAAATATTTTAAAAAATGGCTTTTTTTCTTTGCTTTAATACACCTTATCCTTTTTAATGTTTTTAATATCCTAATTAGTGCCTGAATATCGGTGTTGT